CAATTAATTCATTGTCACTTTGAAGGTGAAGGCCCAACAGATGTTACAATGATCAGGTTTCTGCAGGTTTCCTGAGGAGGTAACAGCAGCGCAGTGAACATGGAAGATTGGGTTCATTTCTTTCATGGCACTGTTCAGAGGCTGCGGTGCCAGTCACTGTGCTGGGGATTTGCTGGGTCACTGCGAACTCCCGGAGGTACTTCAACAACGCCCTTGCAATGCATATGTCATCGCTGCTCAGAACCACAGCTCTGGGGATCTAGTACCCTCTGATTGCTCCCAGCAGTGCCAGGAGCCTCAACAGCTAAAGAAGCCGATGCTGTGTTACCCTGTGGCTCTCCCCCGCCCTACCTGTGACCCTCAAGGCTTCTAAGAAGGCATCAGAAGCATCCTGTGTGAGTTTCAGGGAAAAAGTGCAGAGAAAGCAGAAGGGCCTGCCAGGCTTTAGATTGGAAATCTGGATAATCCATTTGAAACCTCAAGGCCTGGGCAGAAGTAATATGAAAATTAAATTAAAATAGAAACACAAAATCTGTCTTCCTGGCTCTGAAACAGCCTCACCTTCAACTTTGAATATGAAAGGGGATTAAATCACAATTAGAAAAAAATTGAAGCTTTCCTCCACTTCTCTATTTTATCGATAAGGGAATTGTGTCCCAATGATGGGAAATGACTTGCTATGGTGCTAGTGTTAGGGGGGTGGGGGAGTGCGCTGCTAATGTTGTTTTGTAAACAAACATTTTTATGTATTATAACTGGTTATAAATAATTTTCAAATATTTACCAAGTTAATTATCTATCCAAATTTATGAGAATTGGAAACTAGAGCACAGAGAGGTTTTCACTCAGTCACACAGCCTGCAACTGGTCAAGCTAGGATTTGAACCTCAGTAGTGAGTGAGGTTATAAAGTCAATGCATTTCACCAATGCTGCCACCCTGAACACTTTATTTCTCCTCTAATACTCTGTCATGCAAAGTGAGGCTCCTTCTTGAAATCCGAGATATGGGAACACATACATGGGATGGAAGGCCCCATGTGTCTCCATCTGAGTGTAAGTGTCTCAATATACTTGTAGGAATGAGCTAATTCCCCTCAATCTTTGATGCAGGGATGAGAGGAGAAAAGTGAAAAGGAAACCATTGTTTAAAAAAATGAAAATTATATTAAAAAAAGGATATTAATTATTAAAATTTATCTTGCCTGAGAGAAAACCAAAATATAAAGGCTCTTAGGGATAACATAAGATGAAGAAGCAAAATCAACTCTTTATGCCCAATTCATTCACTGACTGAATATTGATTAAATCTTAGTATTAATTTTAAATTATTTATTTCCAGTACTAGTCATTTACTATTCTCTATTATGTATCTTCTGAGTTCTAGAAATATAGATGTGAACATAGCCAAATCCCCCCCTCCTTTCATAGAGTTTATTTTAATGAAAAAGATGACAGAAAATAAGCAAATAAAGAAGTAGGAATATATAATGTACTGGCCAGTAATAAGCCAGGAAAAGGGGATCGAGGAATGGACTATACAATTTGATCTACATGCATCAGCAAAGACCCTAAGGAAAGGTGAAAGTAAGCCAGGGTTTTGGTAGCAGAGTTCTAGGAAGAGGGAGGGCATTTGCAAATTCTGGCAATGGAAGCACACTTGGCAGTTTCAAAGAAATGAGGGAGTACCCAGGTTTCCCAACACTACTCACAAAAAAGGCTTTCCTTTCTCCACTGTATGATAGCTCCTTTTTTCAAATATTAACTGCCCATATTTGTATGGGTTTATTTGTGGACTTTCTATTCTGTTTCATTGGTCTGTGTTTCTATTTCTGCTCCAATAGCATACTGTTTTTATTATGGTTGCTGTGTTGTATAGTTTGAAGTTGGGAAGTGTGAAACCCCCATTTTCTTTTTTATCTCTCAGGATTGCTTTAGATATTTTGTGCTTTTTGTGGGTTGTCCCATAACTTTCATAATATTTTGTTTTATCTCCTTCAAAATGCATACTCAGTCCTCATAGAGCCATACTTTAGACACACACAAAAAAATTCAAAATTAATTTCAAATTCTGGAAAGATTTAGAAGGCAGAGTCACTTGCATTTTGCTGTTGCATCAGAGGGTCTTCAGTGTTCTTAGACAGTTAGTGAGGAGTCAGGAGGTTTGAAATATGGGCCTGAGCAATGGCTCTCTCCCAGATTTCAGCTTTTATGAACACATCTGAACTAGGGATTCTCTTCTTCCTTGAGTTCTCCTGACATAAGTGGAAAGATTTATATTATTTTTCCATAGCTTTGATACATAAAGACTCACAATGAAAGAGGAGAAACAAAAATGAGGGAGCCCAGAGGCCAGGAGTCTTCTCACAATTCTAAATCTTATCCTGACACAACTGAAACCCATCCATAGGTAATCTGGCTGCTCACTCTACTTGGCTTATGAACTCTTTTTTTTTTTAAGATTTATTTAGTTATGTATACAAGCACTGGGGTACAGGCCAGAGGTGTGGAGGGTGAGAGGATTTACCAGAGACAGAGTGGCGAACAGAACATGCAGATTGACTGAAATACACTGCTGAGGGGAGCAGTGGGCGAGTCAGGAGAGGTCTTCTGTGCCATGTGGGTAGCTCCCTGGCTTGGGATCGAATTCATGCTGCAGTGGCTACGGAGAGCTTCATGGGTTGCATCTTAACCCCCTGTGCCACCAGGGAGGCCCTGAACTCTGATTTTCTGTCCACCAGACTTACACTGGGGGCAAAAGAAGCACTTCCAATAAGGCACTTGAGAGGGTCTCAGACTTGTAGGAGGATTGGCCTCAAAAAATTCAACAGCAGACTTGTAGATGTCCTATGCCCATGAAGCATCTTCAGATCATTTATGTCTGGGGAAAATGCCTCGAGAGAACTGGAGAAGATAGACTGACACACCTGGAAGTAAAAGAGGGGGTATCCATTTTTAAGTTACTCCCAAATTATTCAATAGAAAAGTGGGCATGTAGTGGAAAATGCATGGAATCTGAAATGAAAGAACAAATGTTGGATCTTACATCAGAAATTACTCATGTAGGTGACCCTGAACAAATTACTTAATTTCTTTGAGCCTAATTTTCTACTTTTTAAAATAATGTAGATGATGGGAGATAGTATGATCTATTTGATATCATTCTTTGTAAGGACTAAACAATGTATATAAAGCAACTCACATCCCAGTTGTAACTGTGCTCTGGATAATCATTTCTTTCTGAAGATGCTAGGGCAGGTGCTACTTATTCACCTATGAGGTTCTGATTTGTTATTTAAAAAAAAAAGATTTATTTATTTAGGCATACAAGAACTGGGGTGAAAGCCAGAGGTGCAGGGGGGATGAGAAGATTTACCAGAGAGAGAGTGGGAAGCAGAACAGGGAGATCTACTGAAATACACTGCTGAGGGGAGCAGCGGGTGAGACAGGAGAAGTCTACTGTGCCATGTGGGTTGCTCCCTGGCCACCCGGGAATTGAACTCGTGCTGCAGTCGCTGGCGATAGCTTGACAGTGCTGTCTTTAACCCTTGCGCCACCAGGGAGGCCCAAGGTTCTGATTTGTTAATGGACAACTAGCCATAGACATGTCCTAACGACAGAATAGGGACTTTGAGATCTTCCTGAGGTACAAGAGAGAAGAGATATACTCAGGAAGAGAAGCCAGAACTACACAGTCACATATTTTCTTTTATTTCTTACACAGATGCCAAAAAGCTGACATATATTTGGTGCTTTCCAAGTTGCATTTGGAGTCATTTTGTAAAAGCTCTACATGATTCACTCTGGGAGGACACAGCAACAATTCCATCACACAGGCTGTTCCAATACCATGTTTAAAACGAAATAGAGAAGAGATAGCGTTTTATCCTGGTTTCCCTCCTAGATGCTGGGAGAAAAAAATCATTTTTAAAATCACACTGAAAATTAATATTTTGATGCTGACAAATATAAAGAAACACCCACCATTGAGTTGTTGAGAATGGAAGGCAGGGGAAACAGGAAGTTAGAGCAAGAAAAATGAGAATCAAAGTAGTGACCAAGGGAAAGAATTCCCAAAGTATGTATTGGTGCTAAAGAAAATGACCCCTTCCAAGTGATGGAAATACCATATTGCAACTTATTACATGTGGAACGGGATGCTATCATTTCAAGAACAAAAACATGTTCTCATCTCCTGGACTTGATGAAGCTGACAAATGCAATCAAAGCCATTCTCAGTGAATTCTCAAGAGGGAAGTGTGCAGGAGGCTTGGTTCTGTCTTAAAGGGAGGCTAACCTGAGCCTGTCCATCTATCATCATTCATCCGTTTCAGATAGGCAGGTTGCTGGAATGAAAGCCCTTCTTTTGGCCTTTATCTGATCTCACCAATGAGGTCCCATGTGGTCACTGCATATCCATCTTCCTGGGTACCATGGGTGAATGAACAGACTGAGTCACCATAAACTAAAGCACACATGGTAAATGAATAAGAACATTTAGAAAAAGTACAAGCTTGGGCCTCCCTGGTGGCGCAGCGGTTGAGCACTGGATTGTGAAGCTGCCCGCAGCCTCTGCAGCTCCGGTTCGATCCCCGGCCACCGGTTGAAGGTCCCACATGGTGCACAGACCTCTCCTGCCGCCCACTGCCTTTTCTGCTCCCTGCTCTGGCTCTGGTGAATTCTCTCACCCTCCCGCGCTTCTGAATGTACCCAGTGCTTGTATAAATGAATAAATCTTAAAAAAAAAATAAAATAAAACCACTGGTAGTTATTAAAAAAGAAAAAGAAAAAGTACAAGCCCCTGATTCTTCAACTTTAAAATGAAGATAATACCTTCTTTACCTAATTTGTCTGAGTTCATTTTTACACATTATCAGAAAAAATATGCCTGTGAAAGGTCTCTATAAACTTGGCCATATAATTGTCATCAGTATGTCACAATTGATTGTAAACTGTGCATAAAACATTCCGTAAACTAAGTACTTAAGAGAATAGGGTTCTTATGGCTGCTGCATGCAACAAATCCTTTAAGATGAATATTGGTTAGACTCCTTTCTACCACCTTTGTAGGTTTAGCTTTCGTGTTCATTTGACACAGAATGAAACAAGCTCAGAAAGACTGAAGTGCCTGGCCTCCATGGAGCCAGCAGGAGGGCTGAGGTTTGAGTCCAGGTCTGTTCTTTAAGAATTAGCAAGAGAATCAGTACAAAGCATGCTGTGGGAGTGGAGAGTGACAGTTGAATGACATGACTTGAGAGAACTGTCTGGAAGAGATGGGCAATTCTGTGACCAGCTGGCAAAGAGGAGAGGAACGGGAGGGACCTTCGGCGGAGGAAAGAAGGCTTCTTCCTTCTCAGTCCGATTCCTCCAGCCATCTCTGCCATCTTCACCCTCATGTCACATCCTTCATCTCTGAGAGAAATGTGCCCTGAAAGTTTGAAAGGCATTTTCTATCTCTGCTGCTACCGCCTTCTGTTTTCTCTCTCTCTAGAAAGTGCAACATCAGGAGAAAGCTCTGCATATTTACTGTTAATTTTCTTCTGAAAACAGGTAGGAAAAAGAACTCACATTAATTGTTTCTGACAAGTATTGAAGGGTGTAATATCCCAGAGAATGAGAAAAAGCCGGATTTGATTACTTTGAAACAAGACAGGGAAGCCAGGGTTGGGAAATAGGGAAGGTGATCTGTTGTTCTTCCACAACAATTTTAATGTGGAGCTGATTCAGTGGGATATGGGCAGATCGAATCCTTCCCAGTGGGGTTGGATCAAGGTCTCTCCTCTCCGTCTGTGGGTGAAGAGCTGTCTGAGGAATCAGGCTGAACTCCAGAGATGCTGCCAGAATCTTCCCAGGTGTCAGATGATGCGTGAGTAATAGACACTGGGAAAGCAGGCACTGGGATAAATTGCTGCCTCAGTCCCACAAAAGCAGAGGGAGAAAGTGCCGGAAGCAATCAGGGCTTTTGAGAAGCAGTGAGACTTGGTGGCACATCTCTCAGCCAATCATCTCACATGGCTTTGCAGGCATCAGATAATTAGTCCCAACAACTTCACTGTGAATAAAGTATTAATAGACCTCCATTTATAAAACGGGTAGGGAGTGGAATAGAATGAGGCAACCCGGCCAAGGAGCAAAATAGCAATTAGACAGCAGCACTAGAGAAAAAAAAAAGGAAAGAAAGTAGACATCAAATCTCAAGTTGGAATAGCTAATTCCAAGCCTTCATAACCAAACAAACCAACAAAATCCACACACAAACAAATATGAACCTTATTCTACGCAAGTCCCACAGGACGTGGCGAGGGCCTCAGATCTGGCTGGCCTCCTTCAAGCCCTCCCTGGTGCCATGCACTCTAGGATCCATTGGGACTCAGCTTTCAATTTTCTTGAATACTCTACATTCTTGCTCATTTCCACCCCTTTAAACAAACTACTCCTTCTGCTGTGAGCCCTCACCAACTTCCTTGAGTCCCAACTTTCTGACTAACTTCAGTCTATCCCTTTGGTCTTCTTTTAGATGGTGGCTCAGGAATCTCCCCCTGATCTCTGCATCTGGATTCTATGTGCCCCCACCATATACTGTTTCTTCCCATCACAATCATTGCCATGCCATGTTGTTATTGCCTGTTAGCATCTCCCACTAAAACTGGCAAATAGGAAAACAAGTCTGTTTGATTCAACAGATCATCCTCAAGACTTAGAACAACACCTGGCATATATCAAGATCCCCATAAATGTGTACGGACTATCTAACTAAACACAATCCTTATCTTATCGAGACTCTCAATCTACTGGATAGGTCAGACACATGTATAGCCCATAGACAGGAAAAGTGTTGGGTAAAGTAGAAGCAGTAGACCTCCTGGGTGGCGCAAGGAGTTAATCGACAGCACTATGAAGCAATCCACAGCCACTGCAGCACGAGTTTTGATCCCCGGCCAGGGAAGTGACTCACATGGCTCAAAAGACTTCTCCCGTCTCACCTGCTGCTCCCCTCAGCAGTGTACTTCAGTCAATCTGCCTGTTCTGCTCCCCACTCTGTCTCTGGGGAATCCTCTCATACCCACATACCTCTGGCCTACACCCTAGCTCTTGTATGCATAAATAAATGTATCTTTTTAAAAAAAAAAAAGTATAAACAGTGTTAGTAAGCTATCATGTTTCAAAGCAAAACATGCCACCATACACTATTGCTTTAGATGAGAATTTCATTCCAATAGCTTCTTTCATCTTGGAGAGTTTCCCCAGGTTTCAGGGCAGAGATGTCTAAATGGAGAGATCCCATTTCAGTTCCATCTCAGAGACTTCCTTGTCAATCTTTGGACAGATAAAGGCCTTCAGGATATATTCACTATGTTGTCTATCTTAAAGGAAGAACCATGATTCTGCACCTTGGACAGATGAAGAATTGTTTGCTTCTCTAGAAAGGCTGTTTAGTGTAACAGAAAGGAGTTTGTAGGCGGTGGAATGTGATGTGCTGGAAAGAGCGTAAGTTTTGGAATTAAAATGACCTTGGCTCCAATCCCAGCTCTGCAATTTACTAGCAGTGTGATTTGGACCAAGTTAAAGTCTCTCTGAGCCCTGCTCTTAGTATTGCTATAGAGTTGTACAGATTAATATGATATTACAGGTTTGAGCCTCAATAACTGTTATCAATGATGTATAAAAAAGATTCTATCTTCTGCCTCTACCACTTACTAGCTGTGTGGTCCTGATGAAGTTTTTTAATCATTCAAAACCTCATTTCTCTCATCTATGAAATGGAAACAATCAAATTCTCCTTGCACACAAAATGTAAGTGTGTGTGTGTGTGTGTGTGTGTGTATATATATATATATATATACTGAATTTGATACCTGCATCATAACATACACGCAACACATAAAATATCATTTATGTATGTATTTTTTATAATAAGCTTTTCTCAATTTTTTTATCATTGTACAGTGTGACTTTTTTTTCTGCTTTTTAATTTTTCATCTCCTCTAGTCCGTACACTAGATAGATTTCCTTTTGTAAGATTGGAAGTTTCTCTAGCATTGATGGCATTGAATGTGTCTGCTATTTCTTTTGATTATATCCCTTCCTGTGTCTCTTTCCAAGCCCAACCAAGGATCTCCAGCAGCCTCTTCAGCCAGAGTAGAGAGTCCTGGATGTTAAGAACATATTGAAAAGAACTTCTTATATCCCACTGACTTTGCTGTCTTGAAATTAATTTAGAAATATAATCACCAAAACATAGAATGAAGCACTTTCCCCACTCAACTGACAGAATAGCTATTTTAGCAGAAAGGGGTATTTCCCTAAATTCCCTAAAGTCAGATTTTGCTCCTCACTATGAGATGATACTGGGTTGTTAACATAAAATGGTCTATTCAGCTTTCTGAGCCTTCTTTAAGGAGGAGACAGCTGATTTCCTTTTTAGATACAAGTATATTAAAGTTCACAATTAATTTAGATAACACCATATGAGCTGAAAGTAAAATGTCTGGCAATTAAATAATGAATGTGAGGGAGCCACAGTCATCAAAGATATCAGAATACACCTTTATTATAATGATGTAAAATCAGTATGTTTTCATATGATTTAATTATAGATTGACAAGAAAAAGTGCAAAACCATAGATTAACAATTTTTAAGTAATGCACATATAAAAAACTGTGTTTCCAAAACTATGATTAGTATTGAGCAGGATATATTCACCATCTTTATAGAAGACAATTTGTAGATTTCAAATATAGTAATAGCATGAATAGGCTAGAAGAGCTTTGTATAAGATATGGGTAGATTATCACTCCTTTAACACAGAATGAAAAGAAAGTAATGCATGCATTTCTCTAACAGCAGATTTTGCCACCACTCAATTTAGGTTTCAGAACAGAATATGTCTGTCCCAGTGGCTTGCATGCAATGGGAAATGCATAACTACTGACAATTGTATTTCTGAACAATCTAGAGGCTTCAATGACACTGTAGTATATGTAAATGGTGCCTCTCTGCACACCCCAGGACAACTGGTGGCTGGAAAGCCAACCATACCCTACCTCCTTCTTGAGCCAGTAAGAGCTATATGCATATGTGTGCATATGTGATGCACACATATGCAACATCACATATGCACATCACATATGCACACATATGCTCAGATGCAAGTCAGAGACCCTACAAAGACTTATGGTTTTGGGTGGGTTTTTTTTGTTTGTTTGGAAATGGTCTTCATGTCTAAGACTATGGCTCACTTTTCTAAGAGGAAAGACATCTCTGAGTAATGAACACTCCAAGTGCATGCTCTTTTGAGTGATACCACCAAACATGGGCATTGAACAAATCCCAAACTGGAAATTCCCTGGGAAGTGAGAAATGAATAATGAGAGCACACATTCTGCAGAGAGCAGTTGTAAGTGACTCTCCCCAGGGAGGAGGGCTCTCCCCAGAGAGCCTCAGAGTATAAGGGGTTTCCTCCCAGAAGAAAAGAGAAGAGCTGGTTTGGGGGCTCCATGGACTTCTAGCTCACTGGTATGCTGACATTCCATTTTCCCAAAACCAGCCCAGGTGTTCACATTGCTACAGACTGATGTTTCTCATTACTATTTTTTCAATGATGGCTAGACCAAAAAGAAAATAAAAATGATTAACACTTTGATTACACTTAAACCCACCTGCTACCCATTTCAGGCAATGGCAAAAAGCTTAGGTGAACAGGCTAAGCAAAGGCTCACATAGGGGCTGAAATCCATACTAGAAGTGGACAACATCACATATGCACACTAAGAGCAGCAAACCATCTCTAACTTGGGAAGCCCTGTTAATAGCATCACCTTTCTGTAAGAGCAAGAACACCCTACCATTTACTTTAGTAAAGAGAGAATATTGTACAAGGATTTGTGCAAATCTTGACACCCCTGCAGAACTTTCTTCATGATAATGAAAAGAGCAAGTAAAAGGAAAATACCTGAAAAAGGTGTGATTTCATACATTTTATTTTTGTGGTGGATAACTATGAAGTATAACTTAAATATAAAGGAAAGTTTAAATGAAAGATGAAACTGGGGAATTCCTGAATGCAGTCATCTGCATTTAATTCTCACATCTTAGTCTGTGGTTCTTTCAATGTAGAAGTGTTAAGAAATATAGCAAAGACATAAGAAGCAGGCCATTTGGTACACTGCTAATTTTTATGTTTAATTTCAGGTTTTATTTTGGTATTACTTTGTTAGATAGATGGATGAATGGATGGATGGATGGATGGATGGATGGATGCATGGATGGATGGATGGATGGATGGAATCATACCATAAGAACCAGTCAGATGGGAATTATGCCATGAGGGGAACTTAAAAATATTACACAGCTGGGGAAAAGAATAGAAACTCTTTGGGCCTCCCTGGTGGCACAAGAGTTAATAAGATGCAGCACTATGAAGCTATCTGCAGCCGCAGCAGCACGAGCTCGAGCTCGATCCCCGGCCAGGAAGCTACCCACATGGCATAGCCAACATCTCCTGTCTTGCCTGCTGCTCCCCTCAGCAGTGCATTTCAGTAGATCCACCTGTTCTGTTTCCCACTCTGTCTCTAGTGAATGCTCTCATACCCCATACCTCTGGCTTGTACCCCAGTTCTTGTATGCATAAATAAATAAATCTTTAAAAAAAAAGAAGAAGAAAAAGAAAAAGAAAAAACCTCTTTGCTCCTCTGCAAAATGAGAAGACTAGATGAATGGCCTATTAGGACTTCTCCAGCCATGAAATTCCATGTTACTCTGATTCTTAGAGACACCTTGTAGTAAGCATTGCAGGAGAGAAATATTAAGTATCAACACAATGTTTTTGGCTCCTATTGAAAATAGATATCCAGGTATCTGTTTATTTTTTTAGGTGTGTGCTCTCCTGCAGTGATTTCTAGTTTAATTCCACTAGAATTCACTGGCTGAGAGGTTGAAAACATTATAAGCAATTCATTTTAGTGACCTATATTTAAATAATACAGGGACTCAGGGAGTTTCATATAACCAGGAAAAGGAAAAAGAAAATTTCCCTAGGATTAAATGGTTTATATTTTTCTTACCAAAGGATGACCATTCCAGGTCTGGAATGGCAGGTACAAGGCAGCATAATGGATGGGTGAATACACAGGCAGTCTCCATTGTGCCATCAGCTTTTGGAGGAACCAGAGGAGATTTCCAGAAGCCTTAGCCTGGGGAAGTGTTGACTGAGAATCAGGTCGGCTGTATCCTAGGTAAGATCTGTGTATTTGATCCTAAACTGCCTGGTGAAGTAAATATACCAATTTGGCATTCACCCTAACACAGTAGAACTCAACCATCAAGGTTGAATTCACCTTAAAGTGAATTTAAAGTCTTAACGTAAGACTTTAAAATGGCCTGGGCTCATCCTCATATGGGCAGCTTCAGTCCCAGAATTTCCCCCGAGCCCCTACCGCCACGCGTGTGCTCAGCTCCAGTCTCTCCTTGGAGGCTAGACACCACCTTGCCACAGTTGGTCCCTGCCTGGACTCTGGACTCTGGACTCTGAACCACAGACATATCAGGGGTAGGACAGATGTCGTCCAGCTGAGTCAACCTGTAAATTCTGTCCCTCTCAGCTTTCCCTTTTCACATCTCTTGTAAAGAAACTCTACTATTGCTGTTTTTCTCCACGTGTCTCATTATAAATCATGTCCTGCAGGCATTGAGAACCCACCAACTGGGTCTCCCCCTTTCCCCCCAGGTTTGCTCGGTTTCAAAGGACGATGACATGTAATCTCCCTGCCCAGAGCCTGACACTGGGTAAGCACCCAGAAAATACTAGTTCTCTCATAGTCAGTTTTACAGTTTTAGGGACACACATACACTTACCCCACAAACACCAATCTCCTCAGATCTCAAAACCCCGATCTTTGCCTGAGGTTGATGATGTTGCCTCATGTAATCTAAGCCAAAAACATGAAGGTAAATGAACTTGCAACATACTAAGATAAAATACTACAGTAGGATTAACTGGTAGGAAGAGAGAACATTATCATATCATCTATAATAATGATCATGCTATCAATTAGCTTCCTTTTGAGCAGAGCTTCCAGTCTGCTTGATGCTATGCTAACTACTTTACATGCATTATTTCACTGAACACATACAACACTGTTACCACTTTACAGCAGAGGAAACGGAAGCTTAGAAAAAGTAATTACTAGAACTGATGTTCTCACCCCTACACAGTATCATCACTCTGTGACAATGCTCCAGAAACTAGAACAATTATAATATTACCACCAGAATTGTACCTTACACTGGAGTTAATGGTGCACAGATAAACAGCACTGAATTCAGAATGCCTTTCTCATTCATTCATTCATACACCGACTCATTCCACAAAATTAGGAGAGGACTCCTTCTGTACCAGGCAGAATGCTAACTGCAAGGTTATGAAGATGACAACAGAAAGGACAGTCCCCATGACCAACTGCTCATGCAAACCAAGTAAAATAATGCAGCAGGCATGGGTTGGACACCCACCCAGGCCCCCTCTGTGCTCTCCACTCCGGGTGTTCATCGAGGTAAAGTTCTCCGAGGCCCTAGACCATTCCTGAGGAGACAAGAGGGATTCCTATCTAGTCCCTGCCTGTCTCACAGTGGTACCCAATCCATAATTTCTCCACTGATTAGAAGCTCCAGTCTCTTAACTCCCAAACCACTTATTGGGATATTTAGATTAAGTGATAAATGGCAAGTTAAAGTGGTCTATATTTAAACAGTTGTAGAATATTTGAACTGAAAATAAAAAAGAGTGAAAGATAAATGCAATTTGCTGGTAGATCAACAAGAAAAAAAAATCTAACAGCTCAGAATATCATGCAAATTGCAGCTATTTAATATCAGAAGTGCTTTATAAAATTATTAACTAAGTAAAATATGTTGCAACCAGAGCCATGAAGCTCTATATGTGGGGACATATATTAGGATGCACATTTTCCCTATTATTTATGTTATTACTTATTTTATTTTTTTAAAGCTCTACTTTTCAACAGTATTCCTTGTCATGGAATTGTACTTGTGCTTCTGACCCAGCCTCCCCACTATGGCCACATGAAAGGCATGGCCATTCCCCTTGAGCCCCACCAGGCAAAGCTCTGGTGCAGAGTGGGAGTCAAGGAAAAAGAGAGGTAGGAGGCAGGGGACTTGGAGGGTGGCAGGTGAGCTAATCTGAATATGTGTCATCACACGCTGGGCACGCATGGTTCTTATTTTACCAAACTCACAAATGCACACCAGTTTGTTCCCTTCCACAGCTTCGAAGTATTTCTTGTTAAAATACATCTCTTTGTGGAAGCCTTTGACAAAAATCCAAGCACAAAGGAATAAGGGGCGTGGAGAAGCCAAGTTTCTATAAAATGGTGAGTCAGCGGGGGGCGGGGGAGGTAGAAGAAATGTTATCGCTTTCACTCCTTGTTGGAAAATTAAGGGCCTTCTTTTAAATCAAAATTTCCCTTCACTCTTAATAAGATGACAGTCTAGAACACTCTGCCTGCTGCTGAGATAGTGACCTCTTGCTGGGTTTAGATTATTCAAGAGCTCTGCATTTAATCTCAGAAGACTGCCAGGATTTCAGGAACTGGGCTGAGCAAGAGACAGCATCAGATCATTGGAAATGGGTGTCACCTTGCAAGGAAATTAAAAATTTGTAGATATACATGAACATTCTATTTAGTCTAGTCTAGCTGAAGTCAAAGCAGAGATACAAATCATCACCCGCTCATCACCCGCTCTCAGGCACCTAAATGGACAAGAAAATGGGGAGGGGTTAAAAAGGGAAACGCTCCCTAAGAGCAGGCTTCTGAGTACTGGAGGGGCATGTACAATGACATGTGAGCAACTGTGCATGCCTAAGAGCAAGTTCATGAGACTTGGGTGCCAAGGATCAGCTCCCCTAAACACAAACCAAACCCCACTCTCCAAGCCAGTAGCATTCAGAGATGCTGAGAACTGCCCCCCACCCCCACCCCTCAACACTCTCCCTCTGTCTCATTAAGCTTCTCCAAGAAAGGTCAAGATTGTAATAATGTGAGGACCTTATGTCCTTTCTTTCTCTTGCAGAACTGGAGTTCGGGAGACAGAAGATTTTTTTTTTTTTTGCAGAAACTTTTTTTTTTTAATTAATCAGTAAAAATTCTTCATAGGCTTTAAATAGCCCCTCAAGGGAGCTGCTAAGCCACAAGCCTAAAAGAGATGCCTCCTTCCTTCTACAGGAAGAATGAGTCCTGTTTCCTAAAAAAGAACCACTTACCTATCTGAGGCCCTCTCAGCCTTAGGAATACTTAATTGTTTTAAGAAGAAATGGTCCCATGGCAAGCCGGTTTCCTCCGTATAAATGGAATCTTTCAATAAGGGGAAATCTCATGCGTGTGACAAATTGTAAAACCCTGGATAACTGCAACATGTGCAAGCTCAGTCATTACTACTTTGAAATCCATGTGTTAAGACTTCCAAAATTTTAAATACAATGTTAACTATTATGCATATGTGATATGCAAATATATAAAAATATGTTCACAAACATATCTGCATTCACTGCTAAGGGAAGCACACGCTTCTCAGTTCACTATCCACCACATCCACAAAGTGCTAGCTGGTACTAGTTCCCCAAAGCATGCATTTACATGTTCACTGAAAACTTTCTATGCACTGAATGTGTTCCCTGAAAAGATACGTTGAAGTCCTAACCCCCAGTACGTCAGAATATGACCTTACGTGGCTATCAGATTGTAGTAGATATGATCAGTTAAGATGAGGTCATTCTGGGCCCTTAAGCCAAAAGGCCAGACTGGGTTCTTATAAGAAATGGAGAAGAGACACAGGGGCAGAGTCACATAAGGGAAGAAGTTAAGGTGACAATTGCGCTAGAGACTGAAGTGCCACATCTGAAGCTGAGGAAGGCCAGGATGTTGGGTAAAACACCAGAAGGCAGGAAAAGGCTGAGAGAGAATCTCCCCTGCAGGTTTGAGGCATCAAGGCTCTTGATACCTTGATCTTGAACTTCTAGCCTCCAAAACTGTGAAAAGATAAAATGTTTTAAACTACCCAGCCTGTGGCACTTGGTTAAGGCCATCTTGGAATGAATCCAGGCTGAAATGCTGGGTTTCTGGAAGAAATGTTATTGTGATGATGAGCCCCAGTTTCTAGAAGCTTACAGCCCCGCTTAGAATGTTCCCCACATTGTCACTCCACAATGGGTCATAAAACTCTCAAAAACAAGTCATTAGTCAAGTTTAATCTCAACTTTCAATTTTCTTTGGAATTTCCACTTCAGATACTACAAAAAAAAAGTCGGAGAGCTAAAGGGACAACTTGGTTCTGTTGAAAGGCTCAAGCCGTTCTCCCTCTCTCAGGAACCAGGGAGTGATTTGTTTTAATTTGCCTTGGGACATGAACTTAGATTTTGTCTTCCAAAGTTAAGTCTCCTGTGGTTAGGGTCGGAGAGGCAGCAATGATTTTAGAAGCCTCTAGAACATTTCTGGGCCAGGTCACAGTTAACAATTAAATTGAATCAAATACACTTCAGCTTCACATTGCATTTGCTTGGCAGGGTCCACAGTCTATCCAGGCAAAGGGAGTGGGAGGCTGGATTAACACCAGGTAAAATGGCTCAATCGTCAATAGTCAGCTTGGATTTTGCCAACAGAGGCATTCTTTTGTTTTCCCTAAAAAATACATATTTCTTTTATAACCAGCAGTTCTCTAAATAGAACTTCTCAAATTTATGGGTTTTATAAACAAACAAAATTTAAAAGAAAACAAGACAGATATCGAGGTGGCAAACCTTGTTTTGCTTTGTAAAATGTCTACCCTCCCTCATAACTAATTCTTAAAAATAAAGGTGACTTTTTGTTCCACAAACATGGGAGGGACACAAGTCAGCTTGAAGGACTGTAGTTGACTGACAGGAGCCTGGTGACTGCCCCTGACTTAGGTCTCCCTATGTTTCTCATTTCTCCACAGACCCAGGGCTTCCTCATGGACCAGCATCAGTTTATGGATCAGCATTTAGAAACCACTGACCTTGGGAATGTTATCACAATCCATCTTGCTTTGCCTCCACAAACACGAATATGAGCTCCCTCCAACTCGGCCAGAAGAATGACAACTTGAGATTAATATACCAATGCTGAAAATAGTCCCCCTCTCTGCTGGACAATAAGAGCATTGGGAGCTGAAGATCGGTTTATTCGCCAAGTATTTCTGGCACCCAGCAAAGTGCCCAGCACATATGGGTGTTTAATAAATATTTGTTGATGAAAGGAAGCAGAGAATCGTGTAAATTGTTGTTGATTCTGTTATCATTTCCTTCCTTAATACCATGTTATTAATTAAAACTATCCATATTATCCTTTTAATCTCCCCAGACATATCTTCCATTCCTGTTTAGGTTGCCCAGATCGCCACTAAAGGATGACCAAATAGAAACCAAAAAGGGTTTGAGAATGAAGAGTGGCCAAAGTCTCAACGATAAGATTATCCCAAGATTCAGTATAAGGAACCTTCCCTGAAACTCAGAATATTTCTGAAAAAAAATACAAGTCATGAAAAAGTACACAGGAGAATCAAGAATATAGCTCTCTGTTATAGCCAAATTTTATGAATGACGATTATTATTTCAGAAAACTCACCCAGAAATAACAATGTGATTGGGAGTATATTTATTAATAAAATATACTTATCTCTTAATACATCCAAAAGTGCAACACAAAAAAAAAAAAAAAAAACTTCTGACCTTGGCAGGTATAAAGTAAGTATATTTGCTCTGCAAATAAAATAAATGGAAGAAGAGTGAACTAAAATGAGAGCTAACCACGGGGTTGTTCATTGTGCTCTAGTGTCAGCAGAAACCTCACTATGGGAGTTTCCTTTACTGTTCCCAGGAACTTCCTCCTGCATTCCCTGTACAAACCTCACCCACGCCCTCTCCTTGCCTCTCAGAGCAGACCCTGTTCTTTCCTACCTGCCCTACTTTGCCCTTTCTCCATCCCTCCCTGTTCTTGGCCCACCCTCCAGCTCTTTCAGATTCTTGCTATCCCACTGGTGGGTCTTCAGTCTCTTGCACACTTTTCATTTCCATCTACAAACATGCTGAGTCTAAACTTTTTATTACAAAGGAGAGGTAAAAAAAATACTAGAGAGACCTTCTCTTTAATTCATTTTTTTTTATCTCAGTCTTCTTAAAAGGGTATCAATGCCTTGACCCCATGGACACCCATCCACATTCCTTCCGAGATGTGGAAGTATTCAAATCCAAGATGGCCTCTTAAGTAGCACATCTAGAGATAATTGTTTATTCCCTATTTTTCTCAAACTCCACAGTGTCCATTTTGATCATTTCCTTCCTAAAATGTTCTTCTCCCAGGATACCCAGGCTGTCAGAACACCTACTTAACTCATTTATTTTAGCTTCTCTAACAAGTCTCTCACTTACCTACTTCCTCCCTCCCCCGGTAACTTTACTTTCAACCAAGATCTTTGCATGGTCTCAACTTTTTCAATGCTTCATTTGTTTTCTTCACGCAGTATTCAAAATCTCTCTCAAGTTGCAGACATGATTACAATCACTTATATCTATACATTTATCATCTATATATCTATTGTCTAGCTATCATGTCCTACAGGTGTTTTACATTCATCTATACCTTTAATTTAGTAACAAATTCTATTTCCTGACATTCTTAATTGTGTTAATTGTAACATACTGAAGAACCCTCCTTTCCCTTCCTAAGCCAAGTCACACAGACTCAACTACTCATGACTTATTTATCCTCACTCCGCTATCTCTGTCCATCTTTGACTGACTTCTCACCTTCAAATACTTGTCAAGTCCAGTCATCTCCTTTTTAACCCATTAACAACTCCCTAACCCAACCTTGGCAGAGCAATCAATTTTCTCCCCTGGGTATCAATTTCTGCCTTCTACCTATGAAAAACCAATTTGCTCAAAAGTCGTTGTTTTCTTAATAGTTTGATTTTCCTGGAAGAAATAAAATGTGCTGATTGAGCAACACACGGAGTTGAAGGCAACACATTTTATAGCAAAAAAAACAGAAATCACTTTTTCTGATATATAAAAAAGAATGAATGGTTTATGTAGTTATTTGTATATTAACTGAAGGTTTTGGGGTCACTTCTAGATGAAATTATACTATCACATACTAAAGATACTGCAAGATAAAATGTTGCTTGCTAGTCATATGAGTTTGGAAAATTACCTGTGTTATATTGGCCTGGAATCTTTCTCCTTCAAGTTATATCTATATGGTGTCTGTGGGGCGAGTGTGTGAGTGGAGGGAAGGGTGGTACAGGGAGCAAACTGAGCAATTCCTCACTGTATATATTCCTTCTAGCCTCCACAAAAGTGCCTCCAAGTACCCACTATTGTCAAGATTTTTCTTTTCTTTTTTTTAAGATTTATTTATTTATACAAGAACTGGGGTACAGGCCAAAGGTGTGGGAGGGTGACAGAAGTCACCAGAGACAGAGTGGGGAGCAGACAAGCAGATGGACTGAAGACACTGCTGAGGGGATCAGCAGGCAAGGCAGGAGAGGTCTGCCGCGCCATGTGGGTATCTCCCTGGCCATCCAGGAATCGAACCCGCACTGCAGAGGCTGCGGACAGCTTCACAGCGCAGCCTTCAACCCACGCGCCACCAGAAAGGCCCTGTCAAGATTTTCAATATAATTACTTTATTTGATCCTGTCAAGAACACTATAACGTGGGCCTCCCCGTGGCGCAGTGGTTGAGTGCTGTGTTGCAAAGCTGTCCACAGCCTCTGCAGTGCCAGTTTGATTCCCCACCGGCCAGAGAGAACACCACATAGTGTAGCAGACCTCTCCTGCCTCACCTGCTATGTCTATGGTCCGTCTGCCTGTTCTGCCTGTTCTGTCAGCAGTGTCTATGGTCCGTCTGCCTGTTCTGCTCCCCGCTCTGGCTCTGGTGAATTCATTCACCCTCCTGCGCGTCTGACCTGTACCCCAGTTCTTGTATAAATAAATAAATAAATCTTTAAAAAAAAAGAACACTGTAACGTGGTTATTACTATCCCCATTTTATAGGTGGGGAAATTAAGATTAAGAGAAATGAAGTCACTGATTAATTGTATGAGCTCATTTACCTAGATGCCACATATCCTTATTCTAGGTTTGCAGCTATTTCTGGAATGCCACAACAGCAATTGAAAATTCTGTGGGTCTATCGATGTGATTCCAGGGGCCCTGGAACTCTCTGAGTAAGTCCAGAATAGCGTGGCCTTCATATTGATTGTCCCGTGACGCTGAATATCCAGCCTCCACCAAAGATTAGCTCTTTTAAGCCTGCTCGATTATCAGATTTGGATCTCTTGGCATAGAAAGCGCCCAAATACCATGACCAAAGAGATTGAAACCATGGACATCAATTTCTGCCTTCATGTCCCTAGAAAACTAACACAAAAATATCAGGAAATGAAGGAAATGTACAATGTTGCTGTTACTGATTTGTTTTGCTTTTCCTTTGAAAAAAATAAGTGTTTTTGAATCTAATCTTCTGGAGATACACAGGATGAAAAGCAATATGAAAAAATAATAAAACTATAAATATGGGGGGTCAGTAGCTATTTTATTCACTTATCTCATAGCCAGATTGGACTCAAAAAAGTTCTTATTTTATTATTCAAAGAAGGAAAGTTTGCTTTCTGAGGGACAGACTCATTGTGTGTGTGTGTGTGTGTGTGTGTGTACAAATAAGGGGAGGGCTGAAACAGGAGGCCGTGGTATTAAACACAATTTTCCTTCTCAGGACATCAGGAACCCCAATTTCTGGCTGTAGATCCAAGCTATGTTCTAAAATTCAGCATTAAACACAATAAACTGAATTGCTTGTCTATTCCTAACAAATGTATATACCCTCTACTCTATTGGTTCCAAATCCATTGGTGAGGAATAAAGAAGTATGATTGACTTTAAGGCCCCAAACTCCAGAATCATAGAAATTCCCTAATGTCTATGTTATCTTCATTTAAGAGATGAGAAAACTGAGGCTTACTTACTCTCTTTCACTTGCATTGCGAATAGTAGGCGGGAATTAAAGCCCAAGTCTGTTCAACTCCAAAGCCCGTGCACTCACCCACCAAATAATCATGCTGGTGCTGAAGCCTGGGTGATTTCACAGAATCAGGGTCCTGTTTGCCAGACGTTGCCCCTGGTTGCCCAGGGTGGATAGAAGGAAGTGAAGCGAAAAGCTCAGCAATTCCAAACCTGGGCCTCCAGTCATTTGATGATAAATAAGTGAACCACAATCTACTTCTTTAAATCCATTCACATAGAGAATTTTACAAGTCAGAAATCACTCCATGTCTAAAATGGGCATCATGTTAAGGCTAAATAATCCCCGATGCGCTGACCCACTCAGAATAGGTCATTTCACTTCAGATCTGCATTCCTGCTACAAAATGCCTGGGGTTACTGTGTGAGTGGTAAGGAGGTACAGCCAGGCCCAGTGCCTACCAACTCTCCCAAGCAACCATGGCAGCTTAGCTGAGACGACCTACAATCCAGCATTAATTTCCTGTCTTCCAGTCTGAGGGCTCCTGATAAGCAGTTGTCTGGCTAAGAAGCCGAAGGAGAGCCAGGCTCTGGTCCTAGAAAACTCACTGCCAGTGTTCTCCCTCCAGCTGCAGCTGCCCAAAGCTGCCCGTGACCTTGGAGCACTTTTCAAACAGCAGTCTCTCTCCGCTTCAACCCCATATCTAGCTCGAGCTTTGCCTGGTTCTGCTGGCGCCTTTGCCAGTCTGGCCATTCACCACTTCAAAGAATTGCAATCATTATTGAAAAATGTCTTCCCACAACAGGCAGAGAAATTAAATTTTCTCCCATTTCAATTATTTCCCTATCTCAAGCAAAGAAATGAAAACCAACCCTTCTCCTAAAGAAGTGGGGGGGGGAATCAGATTGTTTTTTATTTAATTTTCCCTTAAAATTTAATAGAGAAGCTGAAGGTATTCCTGTACAGACTGGCAAGCAAGGTGTTAATCGCTACTTTGGAGGAAGTAGTTGTGTGGCCTTCACCTGCACTGCTTTCCTCCAGCCAGACTCCCTACCCCTCAATCCAGACAAAAATAAAAGAGCAAGGCTTACAGGGAGAGACTAGAATAAGAAGAAAATTCTGATAGAGTATAAATATCTATTGAACTTTAACAGCTGAATTGTTTATAGGCATCAGCAGAGCAAGGAAAAGATAGATATGGCCACTGTTCTCAAGGAGTTCAACTTCATCAACAC